TAGCATGACTCTCTCACTGCCATCTCCTGCTTCAAACAGGAAACCAGTGTCCTGAAGAGACTATTGCACATCTACACAAAATTCAGTGTTCGTTTCAACAATGAAACTGTCAACTTGAAATAGCGTGTAGCTGTACATACTCAGAAGCAGCCAGTAAATCAGGAAATGCGTTTGTGTTAAGCTTTGATTCAGAAGCCAGCCACAGATCTCACTTCTGTGGTGTTCTTTTTCTCTTTCTTATTTTAAAAAAATAGCTGGCGCTGTCGTTTTGGCGAAGATTTTGGTATGATACATTTTACGAGTAGCGCACCATTTCCATCTTGTGCATTACGATCAATGAGTTGACAATACAAGAGGGGAAGATACTGTATGTTCAGCACTGATCCTGCACAGTAGCATGCTGGGCATTTTGATGCGTGAAGTACGTCAGGGATCAGACAGGGCACACCTTTTGCTGTCCAATTTTGTGTAGCCTACATGTCAGAATTAGACGTTTGCAAGAAGATCAGAAATTTCAGCCAGTTCAAGGAGTGATACAAAAACTCCCGTGTTTTCCTGTTTCTTCAGGGTTTTCCCAGAACCCGTTGGTTCCAAGTCTTCCAAATGGTTGGAAATCTAACTTTTGCTTCTTGGGTGAAGTTTCAGGACACGCCAGTAATATCCTGCTTCCACCAATGGATGCTGCGTTCATATTGATCCTGCCCTTGAAACTTCTAATATCTTCTCGGATGCTTGTTCCTTCTGTTTTAAATATCTACTTTTGCCCTTAGCATGAATTTATTCTCTTTTATGAGAGGTGGGGTGGGTGACAAAAGAATTGATGATAAGGTAATTGCTTTATCTCTGATGTGATGCCAGACATCCTTCCCCACATTCCTATGGTTGGTTGGTTGGGTTGGTCCTCAAAAGAACAGGAAGAGGCACTGAGGCACAAAGCGCAAAAAAGTAGCTTGCTAAAGCCCAAATGGCAGAGATAGATATAGCTAGATCAGGCCTGTTTTTAGTCCAATATTCCGCTTCCAGCAGAGGTCTGCTAGATGCCTTCAGGAAGCAGAGCCAGAAGATAATGGTCGTCGTCAGTATCTGGAACTCAGAGGTATAGTGCTTCTGACTCTTATCCTGCTGGTCATTATTAATCATCTCTCATGAATGTATCCTCTGTGCACACCATCTGCTGACAGCTGTGGGTTACAGAGATTACTCTCAGCCTTCTGGCATTCACAAACAACTTATTCTCTGTCCCAAACCAAAGCCAAGGAATCGAGTCCATTCCCTTCTTCCAGTTGTGGTGAAAACTTCACTGGAAGTGCTTTGCCTTATAGAAATGATGCTTGTGCACCACAGGCACGCAGAGCACTCATTGTGGACTTTCTTGAAAGACGTTTGAGTTGAGACGAAGAAGGAAATACTTGACGTGTCTGCTGAAGTTTCCACTGTTGAGAGCTGGCAGGGGCGGGAAGGCCGGTAACAGCTGAATAATCCAGGCATGAGTTTAGAATACATTAGAGCAGGGAATGCGTATGGCGCTCCTCCCCTCTCCTTGGAAGAACAGAGGGTGATGAATTTGTTTAATTATGTGTCTTGGCAGAGAACTGATTCAGCTGGCGTTCTGTGAAGCACTTTAATGAACTCATGGTGCAAACATTAGGCTTCAACAACCAAAAACCATGGAGAGAAGTGAATTAGTTGCCTGATTCTGCCTTTGGTGGTCAGAGGAGAAGGGAAGAGATTTTGATTAATAAGGGTCTTTTCTGTGAAGTTTCACCCTGGCTGGGCTGAGACTCAGTGCATAGAAGCCACAGTACAGAAGCCCTGTCCATGACACGGAGGAGGGGAGCAGACTTGATTTATTTGTACGTACAAAGAATTGCAGTAAAATACTTTATGTATGTTGAGTTACCAATGTCTACCCTGCACCAGTAAAGCACTGGAGGAGAAGAATCTTGATGCGGTCATACATGTAATCTCATCAGTTTTGTCTTTCTGCAGTGGATTAGCAATGCAACTATGCACATTGATAACACAATAGTTTATTGTATTGTATTCTCTTTGCCATATCTGTAATGCCATGTTAATTGAACAAAAGTTTCCTGAGTTTATAAAAATACAATATTAAGACATACAGAAGTTCAAACCTGAAGAGGTAAACACCCCAAATCTATTTTAAAAAAACCCTGGAGAACTCTTATAATGCCTGGGAGAATTTTTTTAAAGTATTTACTTCATGGGGTTTTAGCGATGCAGCGCCCATCAGGGTAGTTCTATAAGACTTGAAGCATTACATCAAAATGCAGTCATCACCGAGAAAAAAAAATGCTAATAGGAAGAATAAATTTCTCAAAATGAACACAACTCTGATGCCTAATGAAAGATTCTGTCATCCAAAGAACCCCTACCCAGGTCAGCACTTTTCAGGGTGACGTTATGATGATAATCCTGGCAGTGACATGGTTTGGCATCTCACCGTGTCCCCGGTCTTTTTAGGTGAGACATAAGAGCATAGAAATTGCTGTGGTGGTCAGATCTGATTGGCATTCCAGTTCTCAGTGATAGTTCGCTAAATGCCCAGGAAAGATCATCGGCCGGGGGCATGGGTACTGGAAGCCCTTCCTCAATGACCTCGTCTTCCAACAGAGCCCGTGATTTGGCCATTGGATTATTTCAGGATGTGTGCCTGTTGCCCAGCTGTAGAGAAAATTGGGGAGTACGATAAATGCCTGTACAGTAAGTCAGAATTGGCTACCAACAGGTAAAACCAGTCTGAGGGTCCTCTGTAGTCACAGTGCAAGCAGGCAAGGACTGCAGATAAAATAATAACTTTAAATAGAGGGTACAATTTTCATTTTTTACGTAGAACAATAAGGAGGCAATTAACATAAAGAGCATGTTCCACATTCACAGGACCCACAAGATGGGCAACCATTGTGCCATTTTTAATAATGGTCACGTGACCATCTATTATATATGTTAAACATTAATAACATGTTAGGCATCCTTCAGTCTCGAAAGACTATGGTGTCGTGCTCTGTATGGAGGACTTGGAACAGCGTCTAGTGTGGCTGAGAAGGCCAATTCGAGAGTGACAGTCCCTTCCATACTGAAGACAAATCCAATCTGTCCCCTGTCCAGCTCCCTGCTTTTGCTGCTTTTGTGACTTCCTCTTTGCCTCGGCCTGCTGGGCAAGGGTCTCTTCAAATAACATGTATTTATCTGTTTATTTTATGTGTCAACATTACTAAATATACAGATGGCTATTTCCGTGGCTACACAGCTTCAAGTACTGTAATTGTTTTACATCACGTTTGGTGTTTAAAAGCAACCCATGTGCCATGGGTTTTAAAGAATCAAATCTAAAAATGTGTAAAGTAAATGAATGAATTACAAAACATTAATCCAATAACCCATTTCCCCGTTCCATGCACTTAAAAAATGTCTGTTCTGTGAATGGCTGGGCTTTCCCCCAATTGCCTCTCTGTAAAGGCAGCCACTTGGTGGGGAGCTGCACAGATCATGCCTGGTTTTGAGGTCAAGGAAGATGTGCCCCCAAACGGTCCTTCCATGCCCTTAAAAAGTGTCTTCTGCAAATGGCTGGGCTTTTCCCCAATTGCCTCTCTGTAAAGGCAACCACTTGGTGGGGAGCTGCACGGATCATGCCTGGTTTTGAGGTCAAGGAAGATGTGCCCCCAAACGGTCTTGGCCAATGGGTGCCAAACTGACTTTCTGGTGATGAGCCTCTCTGTCGCAAACGGGCTGGTCTTTAGATAGCAGATATGCCATCGGCTTCTCGAGTAATGCTCAGAAACTTAAACAGCTTGGTAAATACTGCCAGAGCTTACCTTCTGCCGGCGTAGACTGCAAGGGCCTAAATCATTTCCATGCCAGAAAGAGGTGACAGGATAAGACTTGGTGCAGGATCTTTGCCTATAGCCAAGATAAAGGACCTCTCATTTTGCTCCTGGTTCCTTGACTTTATGGTTGGAGGACTCTGGACCACCTAGGCTATTTCATGATTGATTCTGACTGTCAAAGGCCAGAGAGAAGAGCTAGCAGAGCCTTGAAGGCCAGTCTCGTTAAACTCCCAAAGCACACTTACCCTTGGAGAGTGCAGGACAGGAGTAGGTCGCCCGTTCCTGACATCAGATGGTGGGCAGAATACGGTCATTGAAAAAGTAGGGTGTGTTATGGAAATATCCACTTACAGTAGAAATAAATCTACAAAGCTGGGGTGAAAGTGAAAAGGAGTTCCTTTATTGTGATGCAGTTGCAACTGGAGAGAACGAGAAAGCAATTAGAAAATCACAGTCTCTCACTCTGCCAGAAAAGTGTTGATTTTATAGCTACAACCCCCCCTCCCGATCCCCTCTTACCTGTCTTCATTGGCCAATTTGGCCGATAAGCTCAGAATATGACTAAAGTAACCCCCCCCCAAAAAAATCCCCCCTTACTCCGTGATTTGGAGTTCTAACCTAATGGCGATTTTACTTTTGCAAAACAAGCTGTATCTTATCTTAAATGGCAGGTTCCACTCCATACCAGAAATTCTTCAGTGGGCACCTAGCAAAGAGCAGCAAGGAGTAATATAAGCAAAGAATAATATGTGGAAGGCAAAACTTGCTCAATACAGTTAGCTTTCTCTATCAATATCAGGTGGGTTTCTTTCTGGTTGCAATATCCAATGCTAGGCCCACTGCCGACAGCTATAGCGCCCCTGTCCAAAGAGCACGTTAGGCTTGGCGTATAGGCTTCAGGCACAGAGTCTGCCTTCTGCTCTGTCTTGTGCATGCTCTTCACAAACAGAGATGAGACAGTGTCCTGGGATCATCATTGTTCATATCTTTCAACTGGTAGAGAGGAAGATTGGTGTTTCTTTCTGGTAAATAAATGCATTTCGGGGAGATATTGTTCATTTTGATCTGTGCTTGTTGAGAATATAGCCATGCCTTCTTGCTAACCATTGTGTTCTCTTCTCTCTCTCTCTTTCTTTCTTTTGGGCCCTAAAGCCAGCACAAGCCCTACCTCAGGACTGGGCACGGCCGCCATTGTGGGCATCCTCATCATCATCTTCGTCCTCCTGCTGGTGGCTGTGGACGTCACCTGCTACTTCCTCAACAAGTGCGGCCTCTTGATGTGCATTGCCGTCAACCTGTGTGGCAAGTCCGGACCGGGGGCAAAGGGCAAGGACATGGAAGAGGGCAAAGCTGCCTTCTCGTGAGTAACACAAAGCTTTTATTTCCCCTTGGAGTGAGGAGCCATACCTTATAGGACCGTAATTCCCTCCATCCCGTATCAACCCAGTACACGTTCTGCCACTGAAGTCCATCCAGGAAGGGACAGGATTGTAGGAAGTTGAGTCAGATCAGTGGCTTGCCTAGTCCCGGGTTATTTCTATGTTACTGTCCATAAAATCCTTCTAACTGGAGATGCTGGGAACTGGATCAGTAAATCCTAAAACTAAACAGAACACATCACAACAGCTTTATTTGCAACAACAACAACAAAAATAGGGAGTTGCTATGTGCCAATTCAAGACCTTTAGTCCACCTAGCCTATGGCTGCCCTCACCGACCAGGAGCAGTACTTCCACCGGGGTGTCAGAAAGACATCCACCCCTTTGTTTGAATCTTAAGACCTCCTGCCTCCAAAGCGGATGCTCTGTCTCACCCTCACCCTGCCTGGGTTTGAACAGCTTGTCACAGGTGGCTAAAAGTTTCACCTGGGTGAACAGGGAGGCTTCCAGGAGGTAGACAGGACTCCCATTCCCTCCCCTAGCAACCCGCAGCATTTCTGATTTGGAGCTGCATGCCCCTCTCCCTGTCCAAAAAAGAAACAGACAGGATGTGGCCCAGGACAGGAGAAGGATCCATTTAACCCTTAGTCGCCCACTCCATGGCTGTCTTGGATGGTGGAAAGTCAAAGTTCCACCTGCACACCCAGCGTAGATATCAAGAGGGCCAGTCCAGCATCCTTTCATTGCCTATATGCTAGGTCATACACACAACCTGCTAGTTTAAAAAGGAACTATTCCTGCTTTGCTTTCTACATGACTAAGATAGAAACCCCAATAAAAGGTTCAGCTAGCCCAAATCTACTCGCAGGAGAGTAAAATATGAGCGGCTGCCCAAGGAGGTTCAGCCCCTGTTGTGAGTAAAATGCAGGTGAGTAATCCTGTGCCAGCCGATCAGTTTGCAGTGGAACAAAATGTACAAAGCTGTTCTCCAAACCTTAACCTTTCTCTCCCGTGGCCTTACAGGAAAGATGAATCCAAAGAACCTATTGTAGAAGTGCGAACGGAGGAAGAGCGCACCCCGAACCACGATGGAGGCAAACACACAGAACCCAACGAGACTACGCCGCTAACGGAGCCAGAGTATGTTCAGAATTGGGGGGGAGGAGGGATTAATAGAAGATTCCCCAGGTGCACCGGGACCCTGGAAAAGGAAGCAAAGAGTGTGATCAGACGGCCAGAAAGGGTTGCTTTGCTGGGGGCAATTTCTTTTAAAAGCAAACACAGACATACCCGTCCATGTGGGAATCACTCCAGCCGGCTCCCCCCCAAAAAGGAGTAGCCCTGCGGCTGGACCGAAAAGGCCCTTTTTGGGCATACATGAGGGTCAGGCTGGTTTGCAGTCTCCCACGTGTCATGCCATGGCCAGGAAATAGCTCGCACTGGACGGTGGTGCCACAAGAGGTCTAAAATGTGAGCTAGTTGCCTGTCTGGTTGAACCCTCCTCAGTCTCTGTTTGGCCTCGTGTCTCATGGAAGAAAGGAACTTCTCTGCTGTCCTTCTTAGATAGTTACCAAGCAAACTAGTTTAATATCGCTCTGTGTGTGTGTGTGCGGGGGAGAGAGAGAGAGTCTCCATCTGTAGGGAATGAATGCTAGATAGAAGGAACACACCGATTACTAAGGAAAAAAACAAAACAATCATGAGAAAACAGGAGATGTCTCCAGGGAGGGCAAGGTTCCAGGAAGACATCCTCAAAGAGAGCAGGGAGCCTTGCCAGAGCCTAAATCCTAGCATGTTCCAGTGTAAGCTTTTGTTGGCCGTAGACATCCTCAGAGAGAGCAGAGAGCCTTGCCAGAGCCTAAATCCTAACATGTTCCAGTGTAAGCTTTTGTTGGCCGTTACATATGTTTTTGCTGAATAGGTGAGATGTAAATTTAAATGGTTGCGTAGTCAAGTGCCAAAAGCGCAGTCTACAAATGTTTCCAAAGAGGGATCTGGAAAGAGTTGTTCTAAGAGGAATGATTATCCCTGAGAAAGCCGAGTCTGTTGCAGAGAGAGCCAAGGTGGGATCTTTATGCCCTCTACGATTTCAAGACCCCCCTCCCTTCCTCCCTGCCCGTCCATCCTTATTCTCAGGGGTCCCTCTGGTCAGGAGGCTCTTGTGTTTTTCTTGTATGTGTGACTTCCTCCCTTCCTCTCTTTGTGTGTTAAATAACCGCATGTTGTTGGGCAATTGCATTGACTCACCCGGCCGGCCGGCAGCTTCTGTGGCCTTCATGGTCTGTTTCTCTCTTCCTTTCTCCCCACCCTCCTCTCTCTCTCTCTCTCTCTCTCTGTCTCTCTTTTGGACCCCCTTGCCCTCCTCACAGGCACCCTGCCGACACCGCGGCAGCAACTGAGGACATGATGCCGTCGGTCACCACGGTCACCACTAACTCGGACACGATCACGGAGACCTTTGCCACGGCCCAGAACAGCCCCACCAGCGAGACGACCACCCTCACCTCCAGCATCACTCTGCCGGCCACCCCGATGCCCGACTCCAATTCTGTGGCCCCCAATCAGGGCACCCCTTCGAAAGCGGCCGCGGCCCCTT